GTATTCGCGCTGGTGTCCCCCAAGGAAGCGTCCTCGGCCCGCTTATGTACAATGTTTACACGGCCGACCTCCCGATGCTACTGAGCCCCAACATTATGGTAGCCACATATGCCGACGACACGGCCTTCCTCACCGTAGCAGACACCCCAGCAGAGGCCTCCCAAGTAATGCAAGAGCAACTCCATCTGCTTAACTCGTGGCACAAGAAGTGGAATATCTCTGTTAACAGCGATAAGTCCACCGCCACCACCTTCTCCATCCGCTCCGGCAACTGCCCACCAGTTAGCCTCAATGATATTACAATCCCAGAAGCAGACACTCCCAAATATCTTGGCATCACCCTCGACAGGAGGCTAACGTGGAAACCGCACCTGCAGAAGAAGTGCCGCCAGGCAGAAGACCGCATTAGAGCTCTCCGCATCGCTACCAGCGCTCATCCTCTGCACGACAACGACACCATTCATGAAGTCCTCAGCTTCCCTTGGGTGAAGGACGAAGTTAAGAAAATAAGCAAGCGGTACATGCAGAGGCTACATGACCACCCCAACAACTTGGCGATGAACTTGCTGGACAACAGCGAACGGACCAGGAGGCTGCTCAGGACCCATCCTCTGGACCTCCCCAGGGACTAGCCGGATACTACAACCACATACTAAATGAAATAATAAACTGGGAAGTTTATCTTTATCCAATTTAATGATTGTCCATGATGGACAGTTTTAAATAAAATTCACTCTGCTATTAAAAAAAAAAAATTAGTAACTTTATGCAGCAACAACAAATTATAAAGAACGCAAATATCAAATATTTGGGGACATCATATACACACACTCACACACAGAACAAGCAATAGTTCGTGTCTATGTATGAAAAAGTAAAGAAAAACATGCATACATATGTACCTATGTATATATGTATGTCTGTGTACGTACATATATAGCATGTAAGTACATTCGTATGTATGTATACATTGGACAATCGAGCCCTGTTGTTTGATTGTAATAAATAATGTTCTATGGTTTTAAATCAAATTTTTAAAACGAACAAGTAAAAAAGCTAAAGTCGGGTGTCCCGACTTTGAAATACTCTGTACACATGTTTACAATAATTATAGAAAATAAGAAAAATTAAGAAAATTAAAAAAAAAAAATTTTGATCGATTTTACCTTTCTCGGTATTCGAACTCACGTAAACATGTGTGCAGTTAACCAAAGCACCAGCATCAACAACAGTCGCTTGCAGCGCTGCAGCAGTAAATATATTTATGGCTATAACTTCTTGTTAAATCGGTCTATCATAGTGAAACTTGGCATACGGACACATAATAACTAATTGAAGGTATTTGCAAAATTTTAGTTCGAAATTCCAAGAATTAAAACCACCATAGGGGTGAAGTAAGGGGGGGGGGGGGGGGGGGGGAATCAAAAAAATAAAACAAACTCGTATAGAATACACACATAAGGCATCTTTGTGCAAAATTTGGTGTCTCTATCTCTTATAGTCTCTGAGATCTAGGTGATCATACGGACGGACAGACGGACGGACAGACGGACAGGGCTAAATCGACTCGTCTTGTCATGCTGATCAAGAATATATACACTTTGTGGGGTCTGCCACGCCTCCTTCTGCCTGTTACATTTTTCAGCTAGCGCAAACCTAATATACTCTTGTACATTTCATGTACAGAGTATGAAAACAACAACAACTGCAAGTCATTGGCTCGCGCTTCTTCTTTCGTTTTGATCATTTACGCCTGTTAATTTCAAAGGCAAAATGCCAAAAGTTTTACTTACTGTCGCTAGGCAACTACTGCGTAAGCGATAGTAAAGCAGAAACCGCGTTGCGGGCAGATGTACATATGTGTGTTTGTATATGATTTGTTCTAATTGATCTCAATAAATTCTAAGATGTTATAATGTAAATTTTCTATTAATTGCATTCAAACTTCGATGGAATTATTGATTGTATCGACGTATTCAACTATCGATAGTTTAGATGCTCTAGCACATAGAGCATCCGACACATGCCCATCTCTAGCATCTCAGCTAATCACATATTTACAGCGACTTACCGTTTTAGTGTTAGCTAACAACGCTTTAAATGTATTCTGAACAAATCTAAGAGTCATTTACCGTTAAGCCTATTTTGTGAATGTATTCATGCGATTTACAAAAGCAGAAACACACCTTTTACATTCACAACAATCACATTTGGAATTAAAGACGCAAATTAGTGTTGAATTAAAAAATTTAATACATACTTATATGTGTATGTATGTATGTATATAGGCGGATAACGCCTGCATGAAAAATTTAAATGTATGTACATATCAGCGTTGCCGAACGCTCCAATTTTGGCGGGACGTCCCGATTTATAAATCAAAACTAAATGTCCCGCGTCGGGACTCAACCGTGTGTACAACGTGCTGAGGAAGCACACAGTTAAGTCAGGACTTGCAGTCCGCCCGGTGCGTAACGAAGATATGTATGTATGTACGTATAACCATACATGTACTTATTGTACTATATTTGCTTTTTGGAAAATGAACTCTTTAAAAAACTTTAGAGAGCGTCGAAATAAGAATATCATATAGTAAATAAACTTATAATTATAAGCACATTTTACTTATACTATATATACTATATACGATTTATTTAGTGTAATACTAATACACGAACACACGTGAATATTCATAAATAAAAAATTAATAGAATTAAAGAAAAAATTTAAATTAATAAATTTTACCTTTCTCAGCATTCGAACTCACGTAAAGGGTGTATAATTGCACATTTATAAAGCAATTGCGTCTATGTGAGCATGTATGTCTATGCGTTTCTATTCGTGTCTGTGTGAGCATTTTCGCAGTCAACCAAACAGCAACATCAACAACAGCCGCGGGCAGCATTTGGGCAGCAAATATATTTATGGCTATAACTTCCTGTTAAATCGGTCTATCATTATGAAACACTAGCATACGGACTCATAATAACTAACTGAAAGTTCGTATGAACACCTGGATTTCAGAGACTATTAGAGGTAGAGACACCAAATTTTGCACAAAGATGCCTTATATGTGTACGCTATACGAGTTTGTTTTTTGATTTTCCTCCCCATTACCCCCCTATGGGGGTTTTCACGATTTTCCATTTGTATAATCGCCTACATCTTGGAGACTATAAGACCTAGGGACACCAAATTTTAGTCCAAGATGCCTTATGTGAATACGGAGAAAATGTGAATTTTGGAATTTCCCTACCTCCCCCCCCCCCCCCCCCCTCCACGCCAAATCGTAAATTCCGTAATTCTTTGAATTTCTAACTGAAATTTTGCAAATGCCCAGTTAGTGCTTATGTATCCGCATGCCAAGTTACATCATGATAGACCGATTTAGCAGGAAGTTATAGCCATAAATATATTTGTTGCCCAAGCACTGCCCGCAGCTGTTGTTGATGCTGATGCTTTGCTTGGTTGACTGCAAAATTGTTCACACAGACACGAATAGACGCGCATAGACATTCGTACACTCACATAGACGCAATTGCTATGTAAATGTGCAATTATACACCCTTTACGTGAGTTCGAATACAGAGAGAGGTAAAATCTATGGCGATATTAAATCGCAAATGATTATGTGGACGTGGGTTTGATTCACGCCAAAGGTTTATTTTTTTATAATTGTAAAATATTTCTTCCCCTTTTTTGTCTACACTACTGTATTTTAACTCTTTTTAACGACATTTACATAATGAAAATTTTAAAGACATATATAATTTGTATAGAAACATTTTTAACGGAAAGTAATTTTCAAATTCTTTTTAATATTAATTCTTATCAATAAAGCTTATGCCTTTTAAATAATTAAGATCAATATTAATATTAATAGTGAAGCCAAGAGAGAACGCTACAGTCGAGCAAGCCCGACAGTAAAATAGCCTGTACTCTCCACAAAAAAGGAAAATAAAAAAATAAAAAATTTATGGTAAAAATTGAATTAATTAATTAAATTAAATGAGAAGACATGTTTATGTTCAGTTTTAACAGCATACATTTACATCACGTGCCTATGCGTGTTTATATGCGTTTTTATATGCGTTTTTATATGCGTGTATGTATGCAGCACAAAGTTGAACCAAAGCAGCAACAACAACAACAGCTGCGAGCAGCGCAGCAAGCACAGCATTGGCAGCGATTTTATTTATGGCTATAACTTTCTTCACAATTGACCTATCATGATGAAACTTGGCACACGGACACATAAGCGCTAACTGGACGTAACTACTAAAACTGATTTCAAAATTCCAAGAATTACCGGAGTTTTCCTAACTCCGAATAACACGAATTGCGGGGGAGTGGGGTGGTGTATCACAAACTCGATCTGCCTGGAGCTTAGGGGAACCTGAATGCCAAGTTTGGTTATCCTAGCTATTGTACTTGCTGAGATCGTTGCGCTCATACAGACAGACGGACGGATGGACGGACGGACGGACAAAGCTATATCGACTTGTCTTGTCATTCTGATCAATAACATATATACTTTATGGGGTCTGCCACGCCTCCTTCTGTATGTTGCATACATTCGCACAAAACTAATACAGCCTTTTACCCTTTGGGTACAGGCTATAAAAATATTAAAATTTACTATGGAATATAGTAAATTTAACAATTTGTTATTTGAAGTGGGTGCATACTAAAATTAAATATGGTCCAACCTTAAGTTGAGTATTGTTGTTATTTAAATTTACGATGTTTATATTTGATTTCAATATGAAGTAGTAAAACATTAAATTTAATATGAAAATATACATCTGTACTATGCAACTTTTTATCGGTGTAACTTCATGTTTAGAATTTATGCCAAAAGATCTGCTGTGTGGTCCAATATGCGCAAGTTCGAAGAAAAAGGTTGTTAGTATCAATCGAGCAAACCAATACAGCACTATAGGAATACTATAAATCTGACGTGTTGCTGTTTATATGAATCCAAGGGAATGGATACTTACTTTAAAACTTTTGGCTCAAATTTCGAAAGCGACGAAAGGCGTAAGCCTGCGTAGAAGGTTGATGGATCTGTTTGAATGGTGTTTATAAGGTAATATGAAATAAATGGGAACTCGGCTGAAACGGCAAAACATCAATTATTAGTTAAATATAGAAAATAAAGTATTTCGTATCAGTGTACCTAAGTATACTCACAAGCTTTTTCCATATTGGCTAACAACATGCCTCCTACAGCCGTGTTAGCCTGTTGCACCTCCGTAAGGAGTTCGGATGCAATAGAGCGCTGCTTAGCCAGTGGATATGATAGCGGAGATTCAATGAGTGGATCAATTGCTTCCAAGGGGCTCATTAGATGCACAAGTAAACAGAGCTTGGGGTCGGCGATCTCCAAAACATTTAAGGGACTGTTACAATTACCATTGGTACTAAAGGCAGGGACCTGACAGTAATATTATATAATTCATACATTCTTATATTTCAGCAAATAATTTCTCTTTTCCATACCGGTAAGCCTGCGGGTAAAAAACGATCGATACTGTGTATTGGTATGATAAGACAATCCCGATTAAGCATGGCCATTGAAATGGGTTCCGAGGTTGTTGTGTCCATTTTGTCCCCAAAGCCAAATTTCACTAAAATTGTAATATAAGTAACTATAATAATTATAATACTAACAAGAGAGAACGCTACAGTCGAGCAAGCCCGACAGTAAAATACTTAAAATTAAAAAAAAAATTAAAATTATTAAAAAAAATGAATGAATGAATTAAATAAAATTAATTAATTAAATTAAATTAGAATACATGTTTATGTTCAGTTTTAACAGCATACATTTACATCACGTACCTATGCGTGTTTATATGCGTGTATGTATGCAGCACAAAGTTGAACCAAAGCAGCAACAACAACAACAGCTGCGGGCAGCGCTGCCGACAGAGGCAGCGCATGAGCAGCGATTTTACTTATGGCTATAACTTTCTTCAGAATTGACCTGTTTTGTTGTTGCTGCTTTGGTTCAACTTTGTGCTGCATACATACGCGCTTATAAACACGCATAGACACTTGATGTAAATGTAAAACTATACATAAACATGTCTTCTGTGTATGTATTAATTAATGTTCTTTATTAATTTAATTAAATAATTCAATTGTTTTTAATAATTTAATTTTTTTTTTAATTTTCTTCTTTTTGTAGAGAGTAAAGGCTATTATACTGTCGGGCTTGCTCGACTGTAGCGTTCTTTCTTGATCTGTTGGGTTTGTTAGATGTAAAAATTTATCAACAATAGCCCCTCCACTCACAAATGGTTTAAGGAATGGAATTATACAAATGTGTCTAAGGGCCATTTTGAAAAGCCCTAACCTGGAATTTGTGGGATCAATCAAGAACATCTTTATAGAAAGGAAAGAAAGATAGGCGGAACCGTGGGTCCAATGATAATAGTGCAGGTCGTGCCCAGGATTGCTGTGCAGCTCAACTCAGCAGATCTACGTTTCCCTATGGGCGGTGAAGTCCACAAGTAAGTCGAGTTGAGTACTCTCAGCATTTTTCTTATGATCGAACTTGCATGAGCAATCTTTCCATTTTTACGAACAAGCACCGGCCTTGATTGGTTTGCTTTCGAGCACACCAGGCTCGGTCACTTTGCTTATTGCGGTCGGTTCGAACGAGTACCGGCCTTGACTGGTTTGCTTTCGAACAGTTCAGGCTCGGTCACTAAGTTTAAGATGACTGGGTCCTGATCGAAGCAAACCAGACTTTGCAGAATGAGCGTTTGATCGAACGAGTATAGTGCCGTTATTTGTCGAGTATTGTTTGGGTATAGCGCCAGCTATACTCGGGTAATAGTCGAGTATTCCGCGGGTTTTACCCGAGCCTGACCGTAGCTACCTGCATCTGACCGTACAAAAAATGCATGTATGTGTGTACATATGTATGTATGTTCGTGTATGTTATGTTTTTATACTCTGTACATGAAATGTACAAGAGTATATTAGGTTTGCGGGAGCTGAAAAATGTAACAGGCAGAAGGAGGCGTGGCAGACCCCACAAAGTATATATATTCTTGATCAGCGTGACAAGACGAGTCGATCTAGCCCTGTCTGTCTGTCTGTCTGTCCGTCTGTCCGTCCGTATGAACACCTGGATCTCAGAGACTATAAGAGATAGAGACACCAAATTTTGCACAAAGATGCGTTATGTGTGTAAAATCAAAAAAATAAAACAAACTCGTATAGAATACACACATAAGGCATCTTTGTGCCAAATTTGGTGTCTCTATCTCTTATAGTCTCTGAGATCCAGGTGTTCATACGGACGGACAGACGGACAGACAGACAGACAGGGCTAGATCGACTCGTCTCGTCATGCTGATCAAGAATATATATACTTTGTGGGGTCTGCCACGCCTCCTTCTGCCTGTTACATTTTTCAGCTCCCGCAAACCTAATATACTTCTGTACATTTCATGTACAGAGTTGGTGCACTTGTGGACGATGTTACAATTTTCTTTATGGATACACTTTTTATAAATTATTGAAAGGCGTCGAGATTGTACGTGCAGATTGATCTGAAGTTAATCAAAAGTGAAATAAGTTTTATTTTGGGGAAGTAACAATTGTCAGTTCTAGGTTACATCAATTGTCACAAGTGCACGAGCGTAAGCGCTAAATTTTAATCCAGGGTTAGTAATTCACTTCCCAAGAATTGGAAAATCACTGAATTATAAAGAATATATATTGATAGCATTTTTTTACGCCAATTCCAAAACGGATTCACTTTTTTCAAAATAGGTTAAACATATTGCCTGCAACCGAGGGCTTACCTTCTGTGCACGATGCATAAAATGGAGAGCGAGAGAGTTCCTCTAGAACTCGAGAGAAGGAGTCATATCCCAACTGCTTTGGAATCTGCTTCTCAACAAAATCATGTTCAAGGTAATACTAAGGGGAATGCTAAAAGCAGCATTCTGATAGTAACATGAATATTTAGGCATCAGAGTGGGATAATACGCCTATGGGAGATCTCGGTCTAACACTGCGTGGTCGGCCCACTACATGGCATCTACATGATATTCCTTGTCTAAGGACAGAAGAAAACAAGAGAGAACGCTACAGTCGAGCAAGCCCGACAGTGTAATACCCTGTACCCAAGTAAACTTCCGTCACTGAGTTATATGCGCCCAAAAAGATACAAATTTGAACAACAGTAGATAATTACATATAAATTATGTATGCAAAGTTTGGTTTAGGTAGCATTTGAAATGTGGACGCTATTGACGAAATTCTGTAGCGGGGGAAAATTCCAAAAAATAAAATAAACTCGTCCTTTCTCGGACCAAGGAGAATCTGGATGCCAACTTTGGTTATTCTATCTCTTATAGTTTCTGAGATCCTTGCGTTCATCCAGACGGACGGACAGACGGACGGACGGACGGACGGACATGCCTAGATCGATTTCTCTCGTCATGCTGATTCAGAATATATATACTTTATGGGGTCGGAGATGCTTCCTTCTGCATGTTATAAAAAATTAAAAATAAAGAATTAACATAAATATATATAATTAATATGTATCCAATAAAGAGAATTATAATGAATTATTATAGCCTGTACCCAAAGGGTGAAAGGCTATACTAGTTTTGTACGAATGTATGTAACACACAGAAGGAGGCGTGGCAGACCCCACAAAGTATATATATTCTTGATCAGGATGACAAGACGAGTCGATGTAGCCATGTCCGTCTGTCTGTCTGTCCGTCTGTCTGTATGAGCGCAAGGATCTCAGTAAGTACAAGAGCTAGGATAACCAAAATTGGTATGAAGGTTCCTATAAGCCCTAGGCAGATCGAGTTTGTTTATTTTTTCTGATACACCCCCCCCCCCCCACTCCCCCGCAATTCGTGTTTTTTCTAATAACTTCCGTAATTCTCGGAATTTTGAAATCAATTTTGGTATGTACATCCAGTTAGTACTAATGTGTGCCAAATTTCATCATGATAGGTCAATTCTGAAGAAAGTTATAGCCATAAGTAAAATCGCTTCTCATGCGCTGCCTGCATTTTTTTTTTTAATTTTTCCTTTTTGTGAAGAGTACAGGCTATTTTACTGTCGGGCTTGCTCGACTGTAGCGTTCTATCTTGTTTTTTATTTGTCTATAGATTTTTCTGTCTGGCAGAGGGGTAGTCACGGACCGGTCCAAAATCCAAAACGGACCGGTCCAAAACGAGTCCAAAAACGGACCGGGCCATGGAGTAGTCCATTCGTTATAAAAGGGACCGGTCCATTTACCACTCCGATGTTGGCGAGATGTCCGCTTCGTATGACATCGTGTGTAAAAACGAAAAACGCAACGCTGAGTAAGCGATAGTACAGCAGAAACCGAATAACGGAGCTACGCATAATCTGCTTCGCATTGCGGGAAGATGTATGATGTATATGATTTGTTCTAATTGATCTCAATAAATTATAAGATGTTTTTATTTAAATCTTCTGTTAATTGCATTCAAACTTCGATGGAACTATCGATAGTATCGGTGGATTCAGCTATCGATAGTTATACTGTAGCAAATTGAGATGGGCATTGACAGTGCTGTTTGCTTTTTGAAATGATACAAATATTAATTTTAAAACAAGTAGCAAGAAGCTAAAGTCGGGTGTCCAGACTTTGAAATACTCTGTACTTTGTTTAGAGTAATTATTAACAGAATAATTATTGACTGATTGGTGATCAACGCACAGCCCAAACGATAAAATCTAGGAAGCTGAAATTTGGACCCACTAAGAAGTGCTTTTGGAAAAATCGAGCTCCAAAGGGGGCTCCAACGAGCTTTAAAAAATATTAGTTATAGTGGTCATGTGTATGTACGTTTAACGAAATATTTTGGCAAGAACAAAAATGTAACGGACTACTAACAATTTTTTGTCAAGAACATAAAATTTTCATTTAAATACGTTAAATACCTTCCTACTAGTAACTAATAAGATGAAAACATATTGGCAGGAGATGCACAGACAAAATAAATACAATTTGAAAGATTATATTGAGCCGGGTTAAGTCGGGCAATACCTGCTAGTGTATAGTAAGTATAAGAAACACAAATCAAAGCACAATAACTTTATCAAATTTTTTAGGTCCAGGATAATTAATTTGCATTCTAAAAGTTAAGGAAAAGCAATTGTTAACTTCAAAAAGAAATTCAAATACAGTATAAATTTTAAAATTGAAACTAGAACACTTTATGAAATTTTGGAAACCAAAGAAGGGCCGCATGGTTACTTTGAGGTTGGCAGAAAGGTACACAATATATATTCACGCGTATTTATGTTGTAATAATAAGCTATTGTTATATACGTTTTTCTTGTGGTGATAAGGAAGAAAAAATAAGAGTAGAATTGGGCATTAATTCAGTTATTCTTTTAAAAGATTTATATAGTGCTTTAAAATTAAGTATAGTATTATTCCACTTTAATAGAAAACGGATTTTTAAATAATGAGGATAAGGCATGGTGTGAAGAAACTGTGTATGATATAAGATTGTAGAACAGAATAGTTGGACTTAGAAGCACAAAGGTTATATGTAATTTATACAATGTAAAAGAAAATGCTGTTGTGTATGGCAAACTTGGCTACTGTGTCATAACATTTCTATTTTTGTGAACTGAGGGCCAATTAAATAAATATTACTGGAGTGTAATTGATGATAGTTCAAACCTTGCCTCGCAGCCGTAGGCATAACGACAGCAGTTGTGTCATTTGTCATTGATGGACTGTCTGTTGGTGTCCCTATGTGGGATTGTTTGTAGTTTTGCTGCTGCTCTTGCTGTTCAACTTTGTACAATTTTGTCTGTGTTATGGTATTGGTTGTGCCAGCGGTTTTCCAACGCAATACAGAAACAGGTGGCGTGCGATCGACTAGCGGTTGCGGTGCGTCCACTTCATAGGGCTTTGAAGGTAGTGCGAAGGATGTGGTGGTCGATACCGCCGAACTGGGTATACCCGAGAATGCACTACATCGTTCTGCAATGGATTCTGTTGATATGTTATATGGATACAAAATAGGAAATCATTTTCCATCGAAATGTGTTTTCAAAACGAAAAAAAAAACAAAAAAAACAATAATTTGGTGTTGATATCGTTACTAACTAATTTAATTTATTATTATCATATTATTATTATTATATTATTATTTAACTAATTTATTAGTTTTAAGAAAAAAAAAAATTGAATAAAGAAGCCTTGTTTGATAAGTCATTCCAATTTTGTTGCAATTGCAATCGATTTAGGGTCATGTCTATATAGACTCGTTATTATACCCTTTACCCAAAGGGTAAAAGGGTATATTAGTTTTGTGCGAGTGTACATGGAACATACAGAAGGAGGCGTGGCAGACCCCACAAAGTATATACATTCTTGATCATATATATTCGTGAGAGACGAGTCGATCTAGCCCTGTCCTCCCTCCCCCCTCTCCCATGCAAATCGCGATTTCTAACTCCCGTAATTCTAAGAATTTCAAACTAAATTTTTCCAAATACCCCCAATAAGTTATTATGTGTCCGTATGCCAAGTTTTATCATGATAGACCAATTTAACAAGAAGTTATAGCCATAAATATATTTGCTGCTGCCCGCGGCTGTTGTTGATGTTGCTGTTTGGTTGACTGCGAACATGCTTACACAGACACGAATATACGAGCATATACATACATACACTCACATAGACGCAATTGCTTTGTATATGTGCAATTATAAACCCTTTAAGTGAGTTCGAATACCAAAAGAGGTAAAATCGATCAAAATTTTTTTGTTAATTCTCTTTTTTTAAATTCTATAATTATTGTAAACATATGTACAGAGTATTTCAATGTCGGGACACCCGAAATTAGCTTTTTTACTTGTTTTTTTAATTTTCTTAATTTTTTAATTTTCTATTATTATTGTAAACATATGTACAGAATATTTCAAAGTCGGGACACCCGACTTTAACTTTTTTACTTGTTTCTATTCCTACTTACTCCACTTGGGAGCTTAGGGTTTCTACAAGTACTTTCCATCTAACTTTATTTCTGACCGTCTCTCTGTGTCCCATGTGACGCTCTTATGGGATAATTCCTGAAGGGTGGTCCGTCGTGTGTGTTTGTCTGGAATGGTGCACTTTTTCCATTGTGCAGGACCGCCAAGTTGGCATCATCGTACATCGCCTTAATTATGGCGATAATTTTGATCGATACTCCTTTGCGCTCCATATTACCGGTCTTTCCACTTAATCGAAGTCCTTCTTTAAATCCATGAACAGGAGGTACAACGGGGCCCGTCATTCCACAGCTTGTTTCGTAATTATGCTCAGTATGTTTGCCTGCTCTACGCAACTCCTGTATGGTCTGAATCCTGCCTGTTCATCACGTATTAATGGCTTAATTTTTTTTCCTGAAGTATTGCTGATCTCCATGAAGTTGACGCCATATCTATATTTGAGCTTCATCATTGGTCAGCAGGTTTCCATTTTTGTCTCTAACTGGTTGGGATTCCTTTTGGTAGCTTCCAGACTATCTGGTACTATCTGGTATAGTAAGCGCATGTTGTTTTCACCGGCTGCTCGTTCTGCATTGTTTGCAAATTTATCCATTGTGCTCTCTTATCGTTTCTGGCGGACTTCTTTACAGCTTTGCACATCACGATTGTGGCTGTTTTGGTCTGCCATAGCCTTTAGATTGTTGCTCCTGCTAATTAGGTCCCATGTCCTGTCCGATATCCACTTTGTTCTTCTGCGTTGTTGAGTGCCAAAAGTCTCTTCTGCGGTCATCCTTAGCATCCTGCATGCTTGTTCCCTGGGGTGATTTTGTTGCGGTGACAGCTGTGTTTTCATTTCCTGCTTATGCATATGTGGTCAATCTGGTTGCGAGTATTCCCGTTTGGAGGTGTATTTGTGGAAATCTTTGTGGGTAAATAAATTGTCACCAGGTCGAAAGTCTGGCAGAGTTCTGTTATGTTGTGTCCTTCACCATTGTTGTTACGAGTCCCGATTCCATGTTGGCCCAGTAGTCGGTTGTTGTTGGGACTAATTTTTGCGCTGAAGTCACCCATAAGAATAGTGATATCACCTTAGTGTATTTACGTGAGAGTTGTTGTGAGAGCGGCATAACTGGCGTCTGTACAGTAAAAAAAGCGGTGATGTGCCTAGCTTTACATGTAAACCTGGCCTTAATGAGTCTATCAGATACGGGGACCCAGGAGAGTAGTGTCTTCTTTATCCTCCTGGCCACGAAGATTCCTACCCTTTATTTGCTTCCGTCATTGTTGCCACTATGCATATCCGCCGTTGTTGAAACACATCCTGTATTTTATCTTACTGAGCATTTTGGCGTGCGGTGATGCTGAGTAAGGCGAACCGTTCGGTCAAGTACCGCCGGCTATAGGGAACTAACGACTCTTGATGTGCAATGCCATCTCGGATATGTTAGAGGGGGGTAACTCCTCCCACCCTGGAACGAAGTGAAGGCAATAATGAAGGAATAGCGGACGCGTAATTAGCTGGACCTATAGCTTGTGCAAACATTACAATAGTTGTTTTAAAAGGGTAGCTTAGTGCGAATGTATTTAACATACAGAAGATGGCTTGGCAGACTTGTAATTCAACAGTACGTACATACTAGACAGCTACTTGGCTTCATTCATAAGGTACGTTGAAAAGAATGGAATCGAATTAAATTGAGTTGAGTAAGTGGAACATTGAAAATGAAATGAATTTGTATGAATATGAATGCGTCTTGTGTCTCATAGCATACGACATTCATTGAAATGAGTTCGAATAAATGAAACGTAAAACGGAATGAAATAATTGACATCTCGGAAAACATTCGAGTTATTCGAGTTACTCTAGTTACTCTACTCTAGTTATTGTAAAATCTGCTAACTTTGGTCCGATAAAGGCCGAAATTGAGGAATACAAAGCCATTGGATATGCCATCACCAGTGATATATGGACAGATAATTATTTAAAAGCGTCGTATTTTGTATATGACAATTCATTATATGAAAGAGGGAGTTCCTCTGTTGCACAAAACAAGCTGCAAAATATATTGCATTCCAGCGAGTAGCGCGGCTTCGGAACGCACAACGCTAGAAATTTAGTATGGTAGTCGAGTATGATCGAAAATGTAGTACCCGTTGCAGTTCTCTGGTACATACATACATACGTACAATAACAGAAACTTGCCTTCTTAAAAACATATTACTGTTGAATTACAAAATCAAATACATACATACATATTTAGGTAGATAGTGCCTGCATAAATCAATTAAATGAACATATGTACCAAAGAACTGCAACGAGTACTACATTTTCGGTCATACTCGAGTATTTACCGATACTCGGTATGATTATTTCATTTGGGTATAGTGACAAGCAATGTCTTGTTCCGAACGAGCTCAGTTCGAATCAAAACTGCAAAAACTCAGAAGTGAGCGGTTGTGCCCGAAACTTCTTGCATGAATGCAAGTAATGACCGGTTGCGAACGAACGCTCGCCAACCAGTCAGTTCGACTCACAACTGCAAAGACTCAGAATGAGCGGCGGTGACCGAAACTTTTTGCCTGCGTACAAGAAATGATCGAACGTCGTATTTACAATCATGCCCGCATGACCGAAATGACCAATGATATTGGCGGGTGCACGTGCACTTGCATTTTCTATTGTTTTTTCGGCTATTAGTTAAATAGTAACATCGTATACAAGTATGTAAATGCATATAAATTAAAGAAGCCAACAAAACTATTAGCGAAAAGAAATACCTTCCTTTTTATTATACTCTGTACATGAAATGTACAAGAGTATATTAGGTTTGCGGGAGCTGAAAAATGTAACAGGCAGAAGGAGGCGTGGCAGACCCCACAAAGTATATATATTCTTGATCAGCGTGACAAGACGAGTCGATCTAGCCCTGTCTGTCTGTCTGTCCGTCCGTATGAACACCTGGATCTCAGAGACTATAAGAGATAGAGACACCAAATTTTGCACGAAGATGCGTTATGTGTGTATTCTATACGAGTTTGTTTTATTTTTTTGATTTTCCCCCCCACTTCCCCCCTTTGGGGGTTTTCAAGGGTTTTCAAGCGCTGCTCAAGCGCTGCTCAAGCGCTGCCCGCAGCTGTTGTTTATGTTGCTGTTTGGTTGACTGCGAAAATGCTTACACAGACTCGAATAGATGCGCATAGGCATACATACACTCACACAGACGCAATTGCTATGTAAATGTGCAATTATACACCCTTTACATGAGTTCGAATACCGAGAGAGGTAAAATCGATCAAATTTTTTATAGCCTGTACCCACAGGGTGAAAGGCTATACTAGTTTTGTGCGCATGTATGTAACACACAGAAGGAGGCGTGGCAGACCCCACAAAGTATATATATTCTTGATCAGCATGACGAGACGAGTCGATCTAGCCCTGTCTGTCTGTCTGTCCGTCCGTCCGTCTGTCAGTCTGTCAGTCTGTCCGTCTGTCCGTTCGTATGAACACCTGGATCTCAGAGACTATAAGAGATAGAGACACCAAATTTTCCACAAAGATGCGTTATGTGTATATTCTATACGAGTTTGTTTTATTTTTTTGATTTTCCCCCCCACTTCCCCCCTATGGGGGTTTTCCCGATTTTCCATTCGTATAATCGCCTATATCTCTGAGACTATAAGACCTAAGAACACCAAATTTTAGTCCAAGATGCCTTACGTGAGTACGCAGAAAATGTATATTTTGGAATTTCCCTCCCTCCCCCCTCTACCCTGCAAATCGTAACTCCCGTAATTCTTGGAATTTCAAACTAAAATTTTGCAAATATCCCCAGTTAGTTATTATGTGTCCGTATGCCAAGTTTCACTATGATAGACCGATTTACCAAGAAGTTATAGCCATACATATATTTGCTGCTGCAGCGCTGCTCAAGCGCTGCCCGCGGCTGTTGTTGATGTTGCTGTTTGGTTGACTGCGAAAATGCTTACACAGACACGAATAGATGCGCATAGGCATAC